GCATTTTGTTCGATTTACACTTCTAAAGATTTCTTTCTCTGCCTATCCTATTTCCCCACCCCGCAAATCTCTCTAACCACCGTTTTTGCAGCAGTAAATGCTGGGACTAGGGGTATATGAGTGGGCATACATAAGCTACTTTTGCCCAATATCCCTCTTAAATCAAAAATATTGATAGAAAATATGCATAGCAATATTTGCTCTTGTACGCTTTTGATATCGAACTAGGCATTCTCTAATTATTACTCTTGAATAATAGGTTCCTTTTGGATTTAAAAAACCGGAATTATTAGAATATTTGTCCGATCGTAACATTTACATTCAGCATACATCGTATCCTACAATTTAAAGTGGTGCGTATAATGGGATCAACATGATCCACCCCTATTGAAAAATTATATGGAAACTATTTGACCCTTTCCTCATACCGTAGGGAAATATATCCTTTTCTTTGGACAGCTATTATGCAGCATGTATTTTGGAAACCTTTAATTCAAGTCTAAAGGCCAATACCGTATCAAATTGTTCGCTATTTCGTAAACAGTTAAACTGAAAGGTGTTTTAAGTAATTATTTCCTATTATCTTCCCCATTGATACACTTTACATCTTTATTTGTTTTTTTTATTTTCCCTGATATGATTCACCCATACAATCCCTATAACCGCCGGTCTCTTAAGACAGTATCCTAGGGCTAGTGGTATCTACGGTTCGCAACCAACTTTAATTTTGCTGATCTGTGAAATCTAATCAGCTGAAAACCTACCTTTTCTGTGGACTCCTTGTCACCACAAGCACAGGAAGTGCCCAGATGAGACTGAAGTTCTTCAATAATGGACCTCACTGAAGGCATATCCAGGCAGTCCTTGTTCCGCTGACAAAATTTAAACACAAGTGTTGACGTTGCAAGCGCGTAGGCCTGGAAATCCGTCGCCAGAAGTGCTTCCTAGTGGACAGAAAATATCCTTAGTAATGGAGATAACAGCGAACAGTGGTGTCCAGGGAAGGATGATAACGATTAGCAAGAAAACTGATAAAAAGATCCGTTTCTTTATTCAGTTTTTGCTTATCATGATTTGGGCGAACCTATGCATTCCATCGATCAAAACGGTTGAAATTGGTTGTTCATTGCTAAAGCGTTGGCAATCCGATCATGTAAAAGGAATAGAAAAATGGCCTGCAGTGCTCTTTCAAAAATAACCTAGAACGGGGGCTTATGCGGTGTCAAGTCCCTGAGCAACTGCGTTAGTCCCGCTGTATGCGAAAACAGAGTATAAGGCTTGGGCAAGTATGATATGGATTACTTAGCACTGCAACTATCCATTGAGAAGGATTGAGCAGACCAGATAATTGAACACATATCAATATATCTTTCAATAGTTTTATCCTTCTGTTTTGGCTATAATCAACGTGGAAACTGCAAAACAGCTGGGTCTTCTAGTCCCCTTAGTGGTTGGTTGATATATGCTGATTCTTCTTGGAACGTCCATATTGCAAATAAAAGTCAATCTCACGTAAACCATCCCCCCTGCTGTAGGCCATGAACGCGCGTTTGGCAGCGTTCAGCATTGGCTACTTTCACAGTGCTCCCTAGCATCTGATTGGTACGTGTCTGTGAGCAGTTGCTCGGCTCTAATAGAACATTCCTCTTCGAGCGAATTGACTAAATTGGGGGTCAACATAATTTGGCTGTGATGCAAGCAATTTCTTTCGCAAGAATGACTTGCAGGTTTAAATACATCTTCTCGTGGCAAATGGTGTCCTTTTTCTCTGCCGCATTTGTGGTTTCAGAAAACAGCCAAGTACGCATGCGATTCGTCTGGTTCCTAAGGAGCAGGCTAGGCATACGCATACGGACACTCAGGCTCCCATAATTAGACCCATCCCTTCAAATACACTTGTCCATACACTGTTATATGCCATGACCACGCAATTAAAACCCACCACACCCACTGTGGAAAAGAAAAGGCTATTCTTCAAAGTCCCTTTCCGAACGGAGTGGTAATTCAACTTCCAAGAAGTCGTCTTAACCATACCATGTCGGGAACCTTCCCAGCAGTGAGCATTCGGGTTCTGCTCCCAACTCACCCGGTCTTGCACGGAGACGTTAAGGAAAGGATACCAACTCAGACCACGTCTGTGTGCATCTACTCAGATACTTTTTCCCGTAGAGCAGGTTATGTTGGTCGCACGAGGCAGTGCTTATCCAAATCTATAAGAGGACACCTCCTAAAATGGCTAAGATAACGTGAATTCAGAAACATAAACAGTGCTATTCTCGCACTAATTGTTGATTCTGGAAATCTGGTGGACCCCAGCGAAGCCTTCTGGATGATTTATAAGGTTCCACCAAACAACCCCAACTCCTGGAGTCGGCGTCTACTAATGCCTGCAGAAGCAACCACTATCAGGTTGGGGAAGCCGGTCTTGTGCACACAAGCCCCCGCAAGCTCCCCCTTGACGTGACCAATAGTCGATTAACTGAATTTACTTTCCCCACACTCTCTTCCTTTCTTGCCCGGCTCCATCAAATCCTCCCCGCCGCGTTTCAATGACTGACCTCTATGCAAAGAACAACAGTATTGACTGCATGTTTTAACTTGTATCCCGTTTCCATGTATGTACAGTATGGTGAGTGCTGCAAGCAACATTCCGCAATTTGAAAAAGATCGGTAATCACTCGCA